CTTCAGGTTCCTGCTGATGCTGCCTGGAGTACGAGGAGTCTTCACAAACAGAGGGTCAAATGTTAAACCTCTTCCCAGAGGACTGCCCCGCAGTCGGCAGAGTCTCACTGTAATATCTCACCCGAGGCAGTGACTTCGGTGTGACCATATCCTCAACCAGAGGTCTGAAAGTTCCATTTCTGACAGTTTTCTCCACAGCGTCTTGTTGTTTTTGCAACTGGTGGAAAAGAAGAATTGAGGTGAATTTCTGTTTCTCCCCACTCAGCCTTTTTCTTCTCCAGTAAGAACCCTAAACGTTACCTTCTGTGTCAGTTTCTCTATGGTGACATCCTTCTGGGCTGCTTGCTCCTGTGATGCTCGGAGGAGACAGTTCTGCTCATCTAAGACCTTCGTCAGTCTCTCCACCTCCTCAGTGGCATAAGCCACCTCGTCCTGCAACACTTCCACCTAAAGGTAAAATGGCAAATCGTCTGTATTTATGTTGGGTTTTTCTAGTTCCAAGTAAAAGCATGTTACACTACATACCAACAGCAAAACAGCTACATATATTGTACCAAATCTGGAATCTAACCCACAACTCTCTGGGCGTGCACTACCTGATGAACCACAGCCATTTTGACCAAGAAGTTACCTCAATTCTGTTGGACACCTCCCTTCTCTCCAACATTTCTTTCAGGCCACAGATTTCTATCTTCATCTTAGAGTTTTGCTCCGTCACTTCCTCCGTCTCCAGGCAGGCATCATTACACTTGGCCTGGAAGAAAAATTGAGATGAAATTCAAGACATTCACTGACAGATTTAAAAAAAAAAAAACAGCATTAACCAAAGAAAGTACCGTGAGGTCTTTGATTTCTCCCGACAGGTGAGTGACCGTCTGGTTCAGCTCACTGCGGAGGTCTCTGGTCTGGTTCATCAAATCGAGGACAACGTCCTGTAGGGAGAAAACAGAAGTCCTTCAGGAGGGCCACAGACACACGGTGAAGTTTGGATTTTTTTAAATAGTCTTTAACTCAGACGTACCTTGTCCTGTTCAATCTTCTGCTCCAAACCTTTAACCGTTTCACTGCTGGACACAAGACTCTGTTCAAGCTCAAGGATCCTAGATGTCTTTGGAGAAAAACAAAAACCCAAAGCAACAATGTTCAGTTTTCAGTCCAACAGAGAACCTCCACCCTTCAGATGTGCTCCACTGCTCCTAGAACTGACCTGTTGTTGATGTTGTGCAGTCAGATCTGAGACTTGTTTCCTGAGTGTCGTGTTCTGCTCCACAGTTTCAATCAGTTCCCTGAGAACACATACAGTATGTAAACGACTCTACGCTAATAGAATCCTGTAGAATGTTCTATATCGTTGGTTCCCAACTTTGTTTTTGACCCCATTTTGGCAGAGTTCAAATTTCTGTCAACCCCAGAGACATGTTTTCTAATTTTTAGATCAAGTTTTTAATACTGCGTGGCAAATACAGAGTAGCCAGATTATTGCACAAAGTACTCAAAGGAACTCAAGCAGCTGTGCAGTCACATGATCGCAGCTGTCAATCAAGGTGCCTTAGCTCACATTAGATGCATTTTATTTGAACTCAATTCAAAGTGAAAGTGTTTAGCATTATGTGGTATTTTAATCATAATTTTAAAAAGAATAATAATTAGTTGAAAAAAAAATAGTTTCATCAGTAATTCTTTTTTTTAAATCAATTACTACACATTTCAGGCGACCCCAGTTGAATTCCACATGACCCCACATTGGGTCACAACCCCAAGGTTGAAAAACACTGTTTTATGTTCATATGAATTGTGGGGGAACTCACTTGGATGTACTCTCCTTGTTTTCCAACTGGGACATCAGGGAGCTGGTGTGTTCATGCTCGTTTTGTAAAGAGTTGTTCGCTTCCTGAATTAAAAAAAAAAAAAAAAAACAAAAAAATGAGGACAACTTGTAATTTTGGATAAAAATGTAAACATTGTTTAAGGTAAAAATCCTGACCATGAGCTGTGCTTTAAGTTGCTCAATCTCCTGCTCCCTGTTCTGCAGCTGCTGCCTGGACTGATCAGCCTCAAACTTGGTCTCAGCTTGAATCTGGTCAAATGAATCCTGCAGCATCCGATGCTGCTCCAGAAGCTGCTCCCACTCCAGTCTGGAATTAAATTAATAATTAACGTTGGAGCAGTTTCAATAAATCAAGGAATGTAAAAAGAAATATATTTAATGTAATCGGAAAATGAATGTTAAGAATCTTAATTTTTTTTAAATCATGTTAGGACAATTTTTTAAAAAAAAGCACATTACAGTTTAGGGAAACACATAGAGCAGCTTTTCTGGACGACCATGTAACAATCTAACAATGTTTATTAAGGTTCTGATTTGAAATGGAATCATAAATAAAGAGAATTCTGCTCAATGGTTTAGAACCCCGACTTACCGGACGTTGTCGAGTTGGACATTCAGACTGTTGGACAGCTGGCTCATCTCCTCCTGTTTGTCCTCAGCCTCTTTCATCTTGTTCTTCAGAGCCTCCAACTCTTTGTCTGAGGACTGCAGCACCAGACGGAGATCACGGATCTCGCTTCTCAGAACTGCCAGACAAAGACGAAGAAGTCATTACTGTAGCTTTTATTTCAACACTCAAAAGGAAAAACAAAGGTTCTGGAACATACCATCAGAGTTC